ATCGCATCCCGGTAATCCTTGATAGCAAATAGACCACTGTGTCTCCATGTTAGTCCTATTCATGTACAAAACAAAAAGGCAGAGTAATGATGAGTGATAGACATACGCTTCCGTAACAACGTTGCGAAGATCAGCACCGTTAAGTCCGTCGCTCATCTTCACCACACTTTCGAAGTCGATCTCGCCATCCAGTTGAACGGTGCTGGAGTGGATCTTCAAGATCTCCAGACGACCGACCTCGTTGGGCAGGGGAATTTCGATCTTGCGGTCGAGACGACCGGCTCGCAGCAGAGCCGGGTCAAGCGTGTCGGGCCGATTCGTAGCCATAATGATCTTCGTCTTTCCAAGGTAATCGAAACCATCCAACTGGTTGAGAAGCTCCATCAGTGTACGCTGGATTTCTCGATCAGCCGAGGTACCCTCCGAGAAACGCCTTCCACCGATAGCGTCGATTTCGTCCATGAAGATAATGCAAGGCTCGTGTTCTTTGGCGTATCCGAACATCTCTCTTATTAACCGTGCAGATTCACCGATGTACTTGTCGACAATAGCGGACGAGACAACTAGGACAATGTTAGCGATCTAGGCCTACCTAAGCCCGCGTCCGGAACTAGAGATGTATACCTTTCAGGAAGTTGGTCTCCATTGAGCTTGCCACTGCTCGTGCCAACAGCGTCTTTCCGGTACCGGGAGGACCGTAGAGGAGCACACCCTTGGGCGGCTTGATTCCTACTCTTTGGAAAAGCTCGGGGTTCTTGAGCGGCAACTCAATGACTTCTCGAAGCTCGCGGATCTGTTCGTTCAGACCACCAATTCCTGCAAAGTTGATCTGGCCTGGGTCCTCCAGTGACATGTTGTATACCAACGGATCAACCTCTCTCGGGAGCATTCTCATTATAGTAAGTGTGGTCATATCGAGGGCGACACGGGTACCCTGCTTCAGCTTTGCTTTATCGACCTTCGAGCGGCAACCGACGACATAACGCGGTCCGGATGATGCCTTGACAATGACTACATCAAGTCAGCCCAGATATCGGTAAAGAGAGTGGCTTACTTTGGACATGTCTCTGCCCGGGAATAAATGACATAGGGATGAGAAATCGAGATAAACTTACATCTCTCCTCATCCAGCTGCTTCAACACTTCTCCGATAATCTGGCCGACACTTTGCAGCGCCTTGATGTTCTCTTCAGAGATATCGAACTCTCGTTGCAAATCCTTGATTCCCATGCGAAGAGACTTGAGCTTGGCTTCCCATTCTCGGAGCTCAAGCAGGCTCCTCTTGTAATCCTCGAGCGCCTGCTCTCTCTCCGGATCGCTGGCGCCGTTCATGATGTAAGGCAATCAGGGAGACCGAAAAGCAGAGCAAAGTCGAAACAGCAAAATCCCCGGGGGTCTTTAGAAAACAAGGTAACGACCCGGGAGGGTGAATATGCAGATGGGTTGATAAGGGATGGGCTGGTTGACGGTACTTGGTCTTACTGCATCCAGCTCGGCGAGCTGTCGAGGAGCTCACAGCAGCCACCAGCTCACAGTGATCACATGACGCTGGCTCATTGACAATGACATAATCATCAATGTATGCCTGAATTTATGCCTGAATGATTAGGCTGCAGGACGATAAGGCGACCAACCGATCACTCGTCGGAGTATCTATTATCCGGGGTAGCTTCTCAGGCACCAAGGTGTCTGTGTCTTAGTCCATTTGCCGCGGGCATTTTCGTCATTACGCAATGGAAGTTTCCAGACAAGAAAGCGCTGGATGTTTTCCCACCCATTGAGGGGCATGTGGAAGATGCTCTCTCAACGTATGAGATAGATCATAATCGACATGATTGGTAGTACTCTGACTCATTCAATTGGTCCTGGGCGATTTACAGAAAGTTGGGACTACTAATGGAGGGGTAGGTGCGTACAGTATTGTTGTTGTGTGGGAAAGGAGGGGCTGTTGCGCCTACAGGTGACAGGATGCATCTGCGATCTGTACCATAAGCATCATACTTTTTATTACCTTTAGCCGTGACCCAGGTCGGGAAGAAGACAAGAAAAGAGGAGCCATGGAGCCTTTGTCAGTTCGTCAACCCCGTCCTCAGCAGCAACACCCGCCTTACCCCGAGGGAATGCGGAAGATCTCGCTGGGGAGGGTAGCAGTTTGAGAGTCTAGAGACAGCTTCAGCCAGCGAGAGCAGCGACTGATGCTGGCTGCCCCACCATTCCCTTGGAAAGATTCGGAGGACGAGACCGTGAGCTTTCCCGGGGGCACGCCTTTTGGGGGTGGGAAAGCTTACAAGAAGTAGCCTACCTGTAACAGTCTGTTGTCGTGTTTATTATTTATCTACTACTACTTCCCCCTCCTCCCCTCCTCTTGTGTTAAGAGTACTCTCAAGAAAGCCCTTTCCTTACATAGTACAACCTCCATCCTCAAGGTCCTGTAAGTATTATTTGTCCCCCCCATATCGATACTCATCATCACCATCAACATCACTCCTATCATCTCTCTTCTTACCCATTTCCTCCTGTTCTTCAACTTCTCTAAGCTGGGGGGAGTTCATGACCCCGCCATCATCCCACCATGTTGTTGTGCTTGACCCCTCCACCCATCCATCCATCCATCCATCAATCCTCCTGTCTATATCCTCATCACTCCATCCTGTTTGTCTATCAAATGATCTGGCATGTCCGGATTTAGCACCAATCCCATTGATGAGATGATCGCTTGGGAAACTTGGGCTGTGCCGAGCCTGGTCTATTCGATGGATCGGACCTCTCCACCTCTCCCCTTCTCCCCCCCCTCCCCGTCCTTCCCTTCTCCGTCACTCATCCGCCATCCGCTCATTCTTTTTGGGTCCTCGGTGAACACTCACCACCCTCCCCCCGCTGCTACTAGTGCACACCGAAACAGCAAGTCCGGAGCGCTTACATTTTTGCCTCCTCCGTTTTTCCCTTATATCTGGGCCTTGTTCTCTCTTTACCATCTTCGTTTCCTTTTCAGTTTCACTGATCCAGAACTCTCCTCCCCCCCAGTCCATCAACATGCCTATCTCCAAGATCCACGCCCGCTCCGTCTACGACTCCCGCGGTAACCCCACCGTCGAGGTTGACGTTGTCACCGAGACTGGTCTTCACCGTGCCATTGTCCCCTCTGGTGCTTCCACTGGTTAGTAGTCAACAAGCAATCAAGGACCTTGTTGTCCTCCAGCTCTACATTTGAACATGCTGACAGTCAATATCCAGGCCAGCACGAGGCTCACGAGCTCCGCGATGGCGACAAGACCATGTGGGGTGGCAAGGGTAAGTTCAGAGCATCCTTCTCTACCAAACTTGGTGTAGTCAATTCCATCCAGCTGACATCCACTGCTTAACTTAGGTGTCCTGAAGGCCGTCAAGAACGTCAACGAGACCATTGCCCCCGCCGTCATCAAGGAGAACCTCGATGTTAAGGACCAGTCCAAGGTTGATGAGTTCCTCAACAAGCTCGATGGTACTGCCAACAAGTCCAACCTCGGTGCCAACGCCATCCTTGGTGTCAGTCTGGCCATCGCCAAGGCCGGTGCCGCTGAGAAGGGCATCCCTCTCTACGCTCACATCTCCGACCTTGCTGGTACCAAGAAGCCCTACGTCCTGCCCGTTCCCTTCCAGAACGTCCTGAACGGTGGTTCCCACGCTGGTGGCCGCCTGGCTTTCCAGGAGTTCATGATCGTCCCCAAGTAAGTTGCAGCCGACATGCCATTTCCAAAGTAGATCGCATCACTAACCAGCATGTAGCACTGCCTCTTCCTTCTCTGAGGGTCTCCGCCAGGGTGCTGAGGTCTACCAGAAGCTCAAGGCTCTTGCCAAGAAGAAGTACGGCCAGTCCGCTGGCAACGTTGGTGACGAGGGTGGTGTCGCCCCCGACATCCAGACTGCCGAGGAGGCTCTTGACCTGATCACCGAGTCCATCGAGCAGGCCGGTTACACTGGCAAGATCAGCATTGCCATGGACGTTGCCTCCAGCGAGTTCTACAAGGCCGACGTCAAGAAGTACGACCTTGACTTCAAGAACCCCGAGAGCGACTCCTCCAAGTGGCTCACCTACGAGCAGCTGGCCGACCTCTACAAGTCCCTTGCCAGCAAGTACCCCATTGTCAGCATTGAGGACCCCTTCGCTGAGGACGACTGGGAGGCCTGGAGCTACTTCTACAAGACCTCTGACTTCCAGATTGTCGGGTATGTACTCTGTTTAATGCAACCTCTCCGTTAGGGTTGTTTTCGTCGCTAACTGATTCTTATTTCTATAGTGATGACTTGACTGTCACCAACCCCCTGCGTATCAAGAAGGCCATTGAGCTCAAGTCTTGCAATGCTCTCCTGCTCAAGGTCAACCAGATCGGTACCCTTACCGAGTCTATCCAGGCTGCCAAGGACTCCTACGCTGACAACTGGGGTGTCATGGTCTCCCACCGCTCCGGTGAGACCGAGGATGTTACCATTGCCGACATTGCTGTCGGTCTGCGCTCTGGCCAGATCAAGACCGGTGCTCCTGCCCGTTCCGAGCGTCTGGCTAAGCTGAACCAGATCCTCCGTATCGAGGAGGAGCTCGGTGACAACGCCGTCTACGCCGGCGAGAAGTTCCGCACTGCCGTTAACCTGTAAATGCAGCCATTTCCCGTATAATGTCACCCAGTGCAAGACCCTTTAGCGGTCCCCACTAGCCCTTCCCAGCGGCTGCAGAACAGCATCGTTGGGATGGAACTAGGCGGCGAAAACATCAGAGATGATCAAGATTTATGATGACGAATTCAAAGGCCAAATAATTGAATTTAGTGGCACATAATGAAAAAATATTTCTTTTCACCCTTCAATATAGAGAGTTCCTATTGTTTCCCCTAAAGTACAATTGTAGATTGATAGATAGCAAGTAGTAAGATTGGGCATCACGGGCAATCCCGCGTGCACGTGACCATGCCGCATGCCCCACGGGATCAGCCACTCGGTCGTTCAAACAAATTCCCTCCTCCAGCAGTACCTCGTCAGCGACACCAGTTCCTCTGCGAGAGACTTACGCTTATCACCGGCTTCACTGCCAGCCACGCAACTCACTTTCCAGCTTGTCATTTTCGCCCCAAACTTGACGACTTTTGCCCGCCATGGCTCCTTCAAAGTGGGGTATGTCCTCTTTTGGATTTTTGTGGCCCTCGCCCGCCTTAGGAATATACATTGCGGGACAACATGGCAAGCCATTCACGATACTGACGGCTTCATTCAGATGACGAAGAGGAGAGTGTCTCTCCCCCTCCTGTGGTTGCCCGCCGCAAGTTCGACGATGAGGAAGAGGAGGATGTAGGTTTTTTTGCCGCCCCTCCCCCTCCCTTTCCATTTTTGCCTCACAATCTGCCCCGCGCCGTCTCTCTCAACCTCAGTCGTTGAAAGAATCCCTCACCACCTCTACCCACACAATCTGACTGAATGAATTCTAGGTCCTTGACTCCTGGGACGCCGCCGAAGACTCCGAAGTAGAGCGCGAGAAGGCCGCCAAGGCAGCGGAGGCCAAGGCCAAGGCCGAAGCCGAAGCCGCCGCCAACAAGAAGAGCAAGGCACAGCGGATACAGGAAAAGAAGGCCCAGCGGAAGGCAGATGCCGATGCTGAGACTTCGGACGACAGCGACGAGGACGAGGCCGAGCGGAGAGCCCGTCTCCGCAAGACCGAGAAGGACGCTGACCTCAAGCACGCCGAGGACCTCTTTGGCGACATCGACCTGAACCGTATGCGCAACCGCAGCGCCCCCAAGGCCGTGGTCATCAGTGACTCGGCCGACCCGACCCAGGCCGTCGATCTCTCGGCTATGCCTCTCTTCAAGCCCGCCACCAAGGACCAGTTCACCCGCGTCACTACAACCCTTATCCCTCTGTTGACGACCCAGTCGAAGAAGCCCCAGTATGCTCTGTGGGCGCAGGACTTCGTCAAGCAGCTCGTCAAGGACCTGCCCAGTGGAGATGTCAAGAAGATCGCTTCTTCGCTGACCACTCTCAGCAACGAGAAGATGAAGGAGGAGCGTGCTGCCGATAAGGGTAACAAGAAGACCAAGGCGGCCAAGACCAAGGTCTCCCTGGTCACCTCTAGAGAGAACAGGATTGAAACCAACTC